TAGTGAAGGGTTAAAAATGGCTAGCTTGTTTGACCACTTAAAAAGAAAATAAAAAACCCCACAGAAGTTGTTTGCATAATCCAGTCTTGAATTATATGCAATAATCATACCTATGTACAGCTACAATCTAAGTTAAGAGCTAAACATGAATACCCTATTTTATATTTATTACTGCTAATGTAAAATGCAATGACTACATGTAAAGTCATAAAAACTTGCAGAAAACTAGTGTTGCTAAGAAGATACTTTAGCAAAGTTCCACAAATCTAGGTCTTAAAGCTGATTCTTATCCAAAAATCTGTGTATGTGAAAAGATGCTACACTTTTTTTTTTTTTTTTTTTTTTTAGAATACATTTAACATCAGGCAGAAGAAATCACTACATGGTAAGTATTTTGGTAAAAGTAAAATTTGAATACAAACATATGGATGACTTCAGAAAGAGAAACCTCTGAACTTCATACCTGGTAATAAATAAGATAAACCAAATGGTTTTCCTCAGTATTTTCTCATATCAGTTCTATATTTTATGTATCTCCACCAAAAATATACTGTTACAATTCAATCCTGCGACATCTTAAGTTACGATAATGACAGTCTGAGTGTCCTGATGTCATCACAAGTAGGGTTCCCTTGAGTTGAGTGTTATCAGGCTATGAATAACAAGGAGGCCTATCATAACCATATACTGTGCAAACTCCGTTCAGAAAGGAAGGATTCACCTGACTGCCATCACATTCTTTCTTTATTCTATCTCCTTCAAAAGTCACTATCATGATACTCCATTGTCCTAGTGAAAAAAGCCTGGATGGCTTTACCTTTTAAGTTTATTACTGACTGAGCTAAGGCATTCCCAGCCTTTGTTTTCCCTAAAATAAGCTATATAAAAAACATTTGCTTTTTGTTAATTAGCTACAGCTAATTAACAAAAAAAGAAGTTGTTATATAGTTGTCAACTATTTGATAGTTTGGTTTGGGGTTTTTTTTTTGGGGGGGGGGGGGTTTGAGGTTTTTTTGGGGGGGGGGGTTTTTTTGGTTTTTGTGGGTGGGGTTTTTTTGGGTTGGTGGGGGTTTTGTTTGTTTTGTTTTTATCTATTGCATCCTATTCCAGTTTTCCTGTAGGTTTAAATCAGCTCAATACGATCTGGATGAATAGGAGGAGGCAAAGAAATGGGTGATGTTTAAGGGATCCGTTTTGAAAATTGCTAGGAAAAAATTATTGTTGTCTTTTCAATATGATTTTAACAACCTATACCAGTTATGAAAACCAAAAAGATATATAGTCAGGCAGACAAAGGATTCATAATTATGGTTTTTAATCTTAAGCGTACACTTAAGTTTACAACCTGAAAAGATAAAGCCAAACTCAAGTGCCACATTCTTCATCTCTCTTTTGTTTTTACTGCCTTGTTAAATGAGTTTATTTTGCACGCATGTTGCAGTGTTTTTCAGATCTCAACATGGATGGAAGATTTGCACGAACAGTAGCACTTTTCTTGTATCTTTTGCATGTAGCAAAAGTCAAACTTGCTCTAATCCTAATTTCTAAGATCAGGGAACTAAGAATAAGGATTTAACCATGATTTAGGACCTTCACACCTGTGGAATTTCTTTGGTAGGACCTTCCAATCCCATTTTAGCTATTGCCGCAGGGCATTAAAACCCAACATCTTATGTTTAAAGTCTGATACAGAGATTTTTATCTTCCTACTGTCATAAATTCGGAAAGTTCTGGAAGATGTTCTAAAGCAAATTTGAAATGTATCAGGGAACAGGGAGCAGTAGAATGATAGTTCCTTAGCAGGTATGTGTTGCCCCGAGGGCAAGCTGGACAAAATGGAGTTGTTTTTTTTTAAAAAAAAAAGTCACATTCGTGACCCAATGCCAAACCTGGGCAGTACATATTGCAACAGGCCAGCCTGGAGATTAGGAAAGCATGGATCCCTATAGTCATGTTTTCATCTAAAAGGACAAAAAGTAATTTCCTATGTGAGGGAAAAGGGAATAGACTTTATTAAGCTGTTTCTATTTGAAATGGAGGCCTATGCACAATCTTCATAATAGGAAGCAAAGTGCTTGCAATTCATTTCCACTTTTTTCTTTTCAGCATGTGCAGTGTAGCAATGTGTGGACAACTGTCTATTAACAAGGAAATGGGAACCAATGCATGGGTTAACGTAAAGGAGGCAGGTTTAAATATTAAAGGATGGCTTACAGCACATGTATTTTGTACACTTTCATGTTTCATGTGGTCCTGATACCTTAACACATTTCTTCAAGTACAATCTCGCCAAAGAAACACAAAATCACTAGCATTTTAGGTGGACAATTTCTGTATATCATTAAGGACTTGCTTGGGGTTGGATTTGCAAAGCCCTGGGCATGCACAGTTGTAAGAAGATAGAGGTAGAAGTGCCAGTCAAGCTAAATCTTCCATAAAACTAAACCAGTTCAATTTGAGTGAGATACTAGTTATGCTTGGTTTAAACAGAAGTGGGTTGGATCATTCAAGGGATCAGAAATTTATGCAAAGAATCCTGACTTGCATATGCAGATCAAGATGGCATGCTTTCATTAAAAAATATGCAGTTGTACTTGTCATATAGAAAGACATAGAATTGCGATTAAATAACACTGCAGTTAAAGTGTTGTGGGAAAAAGTTATTCTAGGATTAGGAAAAGTGAGGATATGTTATCAGCAGTAATTAAAGATTAACCGCATTGTTCACTGACTGAAAACTTACAGCTAGTGCCTTATTTAAACTGCTTTTCATTTATTCTAAACACAAATCTTCATAAAGATCTGAACTGAAGCACCACTTAAAAAACACACTTAGAGCAAATGATTTATTTTTTCAGAGCCAAGAGAAATACAGGCCTATGCCTGGACCATGACTAGCTCCAGCTTTCTCAAATTGAAACCTCAGGTATGTATTTTTTGTCCTGTTACTAACTGTCAGAAACTATAAGTTAGCAAGGAAAAATTAAAACCAGTATGGATCCAAAAGTGAAAGTTGGTATTGCACATAAAAGACCCAGAATATTTACAAAAACATTTCTACTTGCATCCTACTTTGCTAAGTAAAGCACAGATTACCTTTTATCCTTGATTGCTTTCTTTATAATACACAATAGATAAGCCTTTTGAATACCACAAATTTTTTTCATTGCTATCATTCTGAATTCAGACTGTGGAACGGATCAGAGAACATACTGATATAAATCCAGCAAGTGTGCTGGCAAAAACCACAACTGGGATAAATCCCTTCAGTCCCCACTCCTTGTCAGAATGGTGGTCATGGGCTGACAAGACACAAGTCAAACTGAAAACAGCTGTAATCACAGTGCGCAAAAGGTAACAATGAAAGCCCCTTCTTTGTGTACCTACTGCAGCCATCCAGCCTTTGAAAACCATAAGCGCCATACCTTTCGTATCATAAAGGCACATATATTGAGACTTTTGCTGAACTAGGAGAATTAGGCTGAGCCACAGAACACGGGGAACAGCCCAACATGCTGAAATGGAGATAATAACAAGAAAAGACAATAAACTTTGGACTTCCAGTGACAATGATTTAAAAAAAGGAAGACAAAGCGAGTAACAAATGGGATTAATCCAAATGAGCACTGAGGAGGAAGCTGAGGATGTTAAGGAAGGAAATTACTCATTCTCTGCATTTGTGTATAGGAAAGGCTGAGTAATACAAGGTTGCCTGGTGCCATACACCTTTATGGTCATTTTGGATCACTCCAGTGAAAAATCCCAATTTACTTATATCCCCCTCACCACAAGGTGGCACATATGTATTCCCTATGATTTTTAACTGGCTCTACAGTTTACTGCATTTTTAAGAAGTAACTGTTATCCATTTCTACAGAGAGGAAGGAGTGGGGGTGGGATAAAAGCAGGGAGTGATAAACCGCATTATATTACCAAGTACAGACAACTAAAGGTGAGTAAACAATTCTTAATATGTGCATTAATTCCAAACTTTCCTTCTTACTATTGTTCACTAAAGGGTCTGAGGTATATTCACATCAACAGTGTGGAAATTAAACAGGATAAGGAGCTATTGAAAACTTAGCTTCAGTATGTTTTACAAATACATTCACCAGAAACTCAACAGAATTGGAATGAAATGGAATATAGACTTTGGATAGCAGACTGGTGCCAAAGATAGAAATAAGCATACCGAAGCAGAAAGCCAGGCACATCTACCCATTATTTTGATTCTCTGTGTTTTAAGCCTGCTGGTCACCCATTGGTTGGTATGCAGTATAAGGGGTTTTCTTGCACTGCTCCCACTTTTCATTCTCATGCTGTGAGTTTCAAGAACTAATAACTACATACACTAAGGAAGGCTGTTCCCTAGTAGTAATTTTTTCTTCATGTTGATAAAGGTTGTGTTTGAATGTCAGACTTTGAAACATCCAAATACACATTCTCATTTTCACCTAGTGGCTGACCAAATACAAGCCACGGTGATCTTCTGTGCAGTTGTTCCTCTTTTCAAGTCCACGATACAAAAATATCCTGCATGATCTATAATGGCCACAGCACACCCTTCTCCACAGTACATAATGGACACACATGTTTCATATATATCCATCAGAAAGGCACTAAGCAGACTGTGAATCCACCAAACTGCAGAAGAGATTTGAAAGCAAACTGAGATAAGTGTGTGAGTACAAAAGACAGAAGGAGAGATTTTTTAAGGACAGAAAAATACTGACCTAAATCAAAGCATGGAAACACTATCTAGCACGCAAAGCAATTCCATCCACGCACCACGGAATATACGTTTTAGAAAGCAGATTCTTGGAGATTTAAAGCATGAACTATGTACATAGCTCCCTCTGATGACCATTGGACACGATACAATGCAAGTCTCCTTTTATTTTTGTTCGTGCATTCAACTGACAGCTGACTGGTTAAATTCTAATTGCTTCCAAGTGAGGTCAGCAAAGGTATTTATCGAAAAGGACTGAACAACAGGCTCAACACACACATGCACGCGCACGCATAAGCACATACACACCATCTCTCCAGCGTGTTGATTTATGGAAACAATTATAATTCTGGTGGAGCCTTTCTGAGCTGAGAAAGTTTGTAGCTGCAGTAGAGTGTCTCATGTTGCAAAAAGCAGACAACAGAAATGGAATACTTGGGTATCCAGCTCTTATCAACAGGAACAAGTAAGTTATCTGTCCTTTACAAGAACATTCAACAGTTTCTAATACCTAATAACTTTTATCTTCATTTGTATATGCTAGATGCTAAAAAAAGCATTAAGAAAACTATTTCTATTAATAAACTGAAAAGGGCAGGAATAAAAATACAGGGCTCAGACTATGAGGTCTGTTTTGAAATTTGAACTGGAGAAAAGTTATCTGATAGATTGTGCTAATAGTGAATATATAGCTATGAAGTAATCAGCAGAACTTTACTATGCATGAGAAAGTAGTTCAACTGAATCAATATGGGATTTTTTGGAAGGACTTAGAGCTGAAGACAGAACTATGTTTACAATCCGTTTAAATGCCTGTTTATGTAAAAAGTTGCGAGAGAGAGATCTATTGTATATACAGTTGCATATTTTTAAAAATCAGCTTAGCATGTCATGCATTTATGTATAGTACTTTTCAGTAGCATAATGTATCCTTGCACGTTTGTAACAATTGAGCATAAAGACTTATACATGCACCTTTTCTCACAGATCTTTTACTTTCAGTGCAAGCAGCAAATTCAAGTAGTACAGAAGGTCACGACAACAAAGGGGTTTATAACTTGTGTCTTTAAAGGATATTCTGACTGAAGAGATATTTAAGAAGCTCTTCTATTTCGCCATTAACTATTAAGGAGTAACGATCAGAATTCTAGAAGAGGGAGCAATCTCATTTAAATGAATCTGTAACTCGTAAAGACAGAAGGCAGGTCGGTGACCTAAGAGCAACAGTCTACTTGAGATTTAGTTTTCATTATGTTGTTCATGAACACCCAGAACACTGCACTATAATGCACAAATGGATACTGACATGGATCCTGCCAATTTTGCTCTACAGATCATACTTTTACATTATCTTTCTAATGGGCACTATATCTTTAGCTTGCAATGACATGACTCCAGAGCAAATGGCTACAAATGTGAACTGTTCCAGCCCTGAGCGACATACCAGAAGCTATGATTATATGGAAGGGGGGGATGTAAGAGTGAGAAGACTTTTCTGTCGAACTCAGTGGTATATGAGGATTGATAAGCGAGGCAAAGTAAAAGGGACAAGAGAAGCAAACAACAACTACAGTAAGTAATATTTTTGCTTTTCCTATTTTTGACTTATAGAAATTGACAAATAATTGTTTCCTATTCCTTGATTTATAGTAATTTCTAAAGAATTTTGTACAGTGTACTGACCATTGTATAAGACAAGTTCTCCAATTAATCCTACAGCAGGACATTTGTTATTGATTTTAAAATGCGTCATTTTAGATGCTACATTGTAGATCTACTAATGTATTAGTTACAGCTGGTAACTATTAGCAAACAGAGAGCCTATTTTAACAAGTGAATTAAGGTTGTAAGTATGAAAATGTATAACCACAAACTCTGCTCATAAAATACTTATGAAAGATTAAACCACATTTATGCAGTCCACAAACTACCTAAAAGTTTGGTGTGTTTGAGTTAACAATTAAAGCATATGCAATACTAGAAAGTTCAATGGAAAGAATTATGTAAACTCTCTTGCAAAATCTTTTAGATAGTTTGCCAAGCCAGGAACAAAATCTATTATAGTTTCTGCAGTTCATTATTACAATGATCATGATGCTGAAAAAAAATATTCTCTCCCCTTTCTTCCAAAAACATGACTCATCTAGAGAGAATGGACATACAATATTTTGCAAAGCTGTACCAAATACAATTTTTGAACTGGCAAAAGAATTGTTGTACTAATCTGTATTTTTCACACAAATACCTATATATCTTCTCTTTACACTCGAAGGCATCAATTTTACAGTCACTATTTTTGCCACTTTTGTGTTCATGTTATTACAAATATATCGTTTATTTAGAGAAATAGAACATCTACTTGAAAAGACATTACTTTATTAGGATACAACAGAAAAATACATAGGAATATATTGCATATTTCAAAACAAAATTATAAGGAAAAGGGGCCAGACACATGCTGGTCTAGTGTTTACAGTGAACTGAAAGGACAAATATACTTCCAAGGATGCTATTAAATACAGTTTTAATGTACATTGTACAGATTATTGTGCTTTTTATAACAGCAGCAGCAAAAGAAATCAATAAATCAAGCTTCAAGAACTGTTAGTGTGATTCAGCTTTCAGCTGAAGTTGAGTGCTTATTTTCCTATAAGAACAGCACTTTTGCATGCTAAGCATCTGGCTAGTGGGCTTCATAATTTATTTCTTTACTTCACATTAAGTGCTTGGCAACTTGCGTGGTTAAAACTTCATTCACTAATGTTACTGTTTCTTTTAAAATTTGTTTCCATATGTCTCCTTTCTTCCTACACTATTACGTAGTGAACAACCTTATTCCTCTGAAAGACAACACATGGCCAGCAGCCAAATAAATTATTTGGTCCATATTCAAGAAGACTCCCATTGAGTTTCAGGAGGGCATTGCTACAATAGAGATCCATAGGGCTAGTTGCAAAGTGAAATGTTGCTCCCATAAAAATCACTGGGGAAAAACTGTTACTGACTGTTGAAATAGTTTGCTCTAAATTGTTGAAGATAAGTGAATACCCACCGTACTCATTTTTTTCTGTTATTATTTACAAACACTGTAAAGAGATTATGACAGCATATAAAGCTGAATAATTATATAAATTCGCTTTTTTTAGTTCCACGCTGCTTAAGTAAAAACTTTGTTAGGAATTTAGCATTATTTCAAATTCAAGTAAAGGTTCTCAGTTCTCTGCAGGATCCCATGCTGCTGAAGCACACTAATGACACCCTGAAATGTTCTGTAGTGAAACCATTAGAGACTATCAGATCATCTTGTGCTAAAGGCAATCCATTTTCTTGTAGTTTTCTGAACACTTTATGAATAATTAGTGATGGTAACTATTACAAATTACAGAAAGGCAACCTTTAGTCATTTATATTGCAGTGAAAGAAAATTTTGAAGTTTTTTCTGGTAAATGCAGTGAGTGTCAGGAGAAAAAACAATCAATACTTGAATGGTTGATCTGGTAACTGATGTGCACTATGATGAACTGTCTCCACTAAATTTAACTAAAGTATGTGGGAAGTCTCCCACCATCTTACGTTTAAGCCTCTTGCTGTAATTTATCTATTGTGTATTAGGAGATAATATCCAAATGCTTTTGTTGTACAAACAGACAAGGGAAATATAGACAAAGAGGACTGGAAAAATGTGGACACTGATAGCTTTGATTTTCTGAGAAACTAAAAAAAATTAGTATTGTGAAAAACTTCTTTTTTGTCATACCCTCTATTCAATAGAATATGTAAGAAGCCTTTTTGAAGATGTGTTTATGGCTCTATACTAAAATACCCATAAAGAAAATAATATATGAAGGGAAAAAAACAAAAACAAAAACCAAGAAACCCCCCCCATCTGGACTAAAACACTTTCCCTAAGCAAAGTTTTTAACATTAGAAGTCTAACCAGGCTATTCTTATCCAGGGTGTCTGAAAAGCATCATTTTAAAAACATAACCATTACAAAGATGTATTAATCTGGGTGTTCAAGTATTCTTGTTCCATGATTTCCAGTTCTGAAAGTTAGTAAAAGGTAAATCAGACCTGTTTCTCAGGATGGCATCCCAGAACAGTTGCACTCAAATTAATCAATGTGTACAAGAATTGTTGCTCCGAGAAGTTTCTTCTTATTTTATCCTAATTTTCCACTTACATAATAAACAAAAGGAATCCCTTTCCCTTTTGAATCACTAACACGTGCGACTAAAATGAAAACAAGAAAAATTTGTAATTTTAACTATCATAACAGCTTCATAATGGAAGCTGCATTGACAAATTTGCAGACAGAGTCAACTACTTATTTTCAGCTCATGAATTGTGAAGCATGAATAATGTGAAGAGCAATCTTCACACTGAGAAATGTCTGTAGAATAACTTCATCATAACTTTGGCAAGTGCCAAAATTCACAGAGCTTCTCTCATCAGTCGAGACTATAAATGCAAGAATGGCAAGACAGTGAGGAATTAGGGTCTTCCTATTTCAAACTTCTCTAGTAAGTTACAGAATAAAATATATATACACATCCTAAGAAAGTAACAGCAAAAATAATAGAAGTGTGAAAATTTCCTAAGAGTTTAATACACAGTTTTAATTCATACATATTAAAGGTATGTGGATTGAAATTCCATGACAAAATTAAATACTGAACCAAATCCTCACTCACCAATTGTAATTAATCTGTATTTATCATTCACTCTTTTCAAAACACATTAGAAGTTAACTCCTTAGTCCAAGAAAGATGTGTGTACTGTTTCAGTGAAAGCAAATTGTTGAACCCTGTTTACAACAGCTATGACCTTGTTAGGTACCCAAAGAATATTATTCTGTGTGCATTTCAGAAAGCAGTAGAGCCTTCTGGTGGACATAAAGGTGATAACTCAAGAATAAACTAAGCAAATCAGAGGACAGTGATCTCCACTAAGCAGAGGAAATCACTTTGCACCTGACAGCTTTGCTTTCACTCTGAAAGCTAAAAGGCAGAGTGAGAACTGAGTCACATACTGAAAAACTAAAGCAAGAATTAGGAAGCAGCCAAGTGATGAGGTCACCCAGAAAAATCTGTCATTATTAATAACATTTTTTCTCTTTGATAATCACTTCTTACACCTTGTCCAAGCCTAAACTATATGCTTTTTAATAAAAATTTTGCATCTTGTTCATGTAAAATAATCTAAGTAGGCACACAAAAGAGACTTTTTGAATTTATGATTGTAAAAACTGAGAGTGACTGAACAAATCTTGGTGATAATATGGCAATTTGTAAACTCTCTATCTTTTATAGAAAATAAATCTCTCCTTATTACTGGTTCTTTACTCCTTCTTTAATTTCAGTTTGTGTTGATGAATTTTTCCAGATTTTATTTGATTTTGTTCAGAAAAAGAGGCAGCAAAAATCAGAGTTTATGTTGACTCTATCCAATAGGATTTACAACTATGACTGGATGATGCTTTAGGACTTTCCACGCTCTGTTGCCTTTGGAATCTCATTTTAAAGACTTCAAAGGGTCTCTTAGTTACTAGAAAAGCCATCCCAGAACCTCAATCCTAAGATGTCCGATCCTATCACTTTCCATGTGTGCGCTAAACCCAGAAAGTGCCTATTTCCTCTTCTTTTCAGTGGATAAAGCCAACCAAAAAAGTTTTTTTTTAAAAAAAAAAAGTCTAGTGAGATCTTGGCACAAAATGGCTGAAATCTTCATTAAAATTTTTATCTTGGAAACCTACTTCTATTTTGACCAAATTCCAACAAGTCATTGTTTTCAGCAATATTAAATGAACTCTCAGTTTTGTTCAAACCTAAACCCTAACTGGTAATAAAATACACTCTATATGCATCTTAGTGGTTAAATACTCAAACTTGCTTAGAAATCAAAATTATTTCCAATAGCACTTTATATATGCTTCTTAGGATAAAACAAATGTTGGACTATGTATGCTGGGCCACTATATAAATTTTATTTCTATTGCTTAAATACATATTATTTATTATTGGAGGAGAGGAGCAAGGAGATTCAGTATCTGAAAATCAGATATTTCAAGGCAGGTGTTGATGTACCAGATTCAGTTAAGGGTTATGCGTGTTCCAACCAAATAGAAAGTCTGTCTTTGCAACCGGGTTCTTGATTTTTCAAGAGGTCGTTGGTTCAACCAATACCTTGGTGTCAGGAGAAGACAAACCTTCACTAACATTAAACTGCTTTTGCTTCACATCAGTACTCTGCTAATCCTTTCAATTATAACAGAGATTTAATTCAAATGGCAATATATGTGTATCCTCTCAAAACTTAGCCTGCAGTGCCAAGGATGACTTTTTCTCCTACAGTGATTAATCAGATCCAAATATAACAGATTTCCCTGCTCCCTCTCTAGCTCTTTGTCTGGCACTGGTGGTAGATACCACCCCTCAAGTTTCAATCAGCAGAAGGGACTCTACACCTATACCTTACCACAAATCCCAGCTTTTCACCATCAACTGCTGATGAAGATGGGGTTTAGCAAAGATGCGGATAACAGAAGCAGCTGAGTTATGCCTGTCTTACGG